CCATCCGCCTCGACGACTCGGACGATCATGACGAAAGATACAAAAGTCATCTAATAAAATGTCATTATCAGAAATCGTAGAATTTAACCACGTTTCTGAAAACGCAATAATATTATAATCAAAAGAAAAACTACTCAGAAATAAATTCCCGGGCTTGGACAAAAGACCTCTAAATTCTGATACAGAATATTAAGCGAAAAAGGTCGCGCTTCTAGTTTTTTTGAAGCCAAACTTGACGTTGGTTTCGAAGAAAGAGTTCTACAATGTAAATCAACAGGCGGTGACGAAACTCGTTTTTTCTGCATAAACTCATGAACAATGTGAACAAATTTTGGATCACATATAATTGTAAAAGCCTCAGGCGGAACACTTATTTTAAACGAGGCTATTTCACGGGGCTCAGCAAAACTGAACTTCGAAATAGCTACACTAGCCGTCGATTTACTGGCAATATAGGCTGCTATAGATTCACAAGTGGTATCGGAAGATAATCTTGATCCAAAAACTTGTCTTCTGGGAGATATAACAGTAAGAGCAGGGGGTGAGGCAGAGCAGCAACTGACGCACTTTCTGCAGCTTGTGATGAGACTGCGGGGGATATTGCAGAAAATTTTATAGAGGAAGCTTTCTTAGAAGCTTTCGAGGCCACTACTGCCTTGCTTACTGCAGGAGGTTTTGTCAACGGTGCTAAGGTGACCTGAGCAGGAGAAGGCACAGCGGAAATTCCAAACAAATTTCCAGGGGGAGCAGACAATGAGATTGCTGGCGATAGATCTACTGTAGAACTTGGGCGTAATAAAATTGGGAGAAAATTATGAAAATTACCAAAAACATTACGTTGTTCATCTGTTCTTTCTTATAGTTAATAACCCAAGTGTATGTGATCTTGTGTATTATACAGTGTTTATTAATGATCACGACACCAAGATACATAGTATAGTTTAAATTAGGAATATAATGAAGAATGGTGGAGACGGTGAATATTAGATTATGCAGCTGATGTACTCTGCTTTTACGGCTGACTGATGACTCCTGCTACTTTAAACCAAAATGAGTAGTAAGTACTGATGGCGATGCTGCTTCTAGGTGTTCCGCCATTCTCACTTTCCTGTCTTCCCATCTTACATCTTAACATCTTAACAGGAAACTTGTGTCCAAATTTCACCTTCTTAACTCTTTTCATTTGGGCTTTACGTCAACACAAATTATTCAACTTTAATGTGTGTTCAATGCAAAATATGAATACTGTGAGTATTAAATCTTAACAGGAAACTTGTGTCCAAATTTCACCTTCTTAACTCTTTTCATTTGGGCTTTACGTCAACACAAATTATTCAACTTTAATGTGTGTTCAATGCAAAATATGAATACTGTGAGTATTAAATGTGTGTTTCTGTTTTCTAGAACGACGCTCACATTTGACTGACTAATTTTGTAAAAATCCCATAACGCACAGCTGTCAGAAACAGCTGACAGTCGACGAGTACATTTCACTGACTAATTGTTTTCAATCCTAGCGAGGTCCTAAATAAATGTAAATTTATTATTAAGCTATATTTGCTCTATCTATGTAGACCACGAATGGTATATCACATGAGCACGCTGCGGCTGGCTAACATGAGCTACCTGATAAAGTGCGCACACATGGTAGAAGATAAGGAATCGATGATAGTATGTAGACGATAGCATAAGAACTAGGATAAGAATTTATATATAAAACAAGTAGAGAAGCTAAAGTCGGTTATCGCGATTTGAAATACTCTGTACATATGTGTAGAATAATTATGAGTGTATGTGTGTGTTTGTGTGTGCCTGTGTATGTCTCGTGTGCCTTTAGAAAGCAGTAACAACAACAACAGCTGCGGGCACTACTTGGTCTTATGTACATATATGGCTACAACTTCCTGTTAAATCGGCCTATCTGGTGGTGTCTCTAGCTCTTATAGTCTCTGAGATCCAGTTGTTCATACGGACAGACGGGTAGACAGACAGACAGGGCTAGATCGACTCGTCTAGAAACTCCAAATAAAGGCGCCTTATTTGTGTACGCTCTCCAAGTTTTTTATTTTTTCGATTTTCCCCCCACTTTCCCCCTATGGAAGTTTTCCCTATTTTCCGTTCACCTATGTCTCGAAGACTATGAGACCTACGGACACCAAATTTTATTCCAAGATGCCTTATGTGAATACGTAGAAAATGCCACGCATAGATATGCAAACACTCACACAGACGCAATTGCTATGTAAATGTGCATTTATAATTCTTTAAATTTCTAATCATACAGAGTATTTCGAAGTCGGGATACCTGACTTTAACTTTGTTACAGCCTGTACCTGAAGGGAAAAGACTATATTAATTTTGTGCGAATGTATGTAACAGGCAGAAGCAGGCGTGGCAGACCGCACAAAGTATACATTTATTGATCAGGATGACAAGGCGAGTCGATATAGCCATGTCCGTCTGTCCGTCCATCCGTGAACGCAAGCATCTCGGGAAGTACAAGAAGAAGAATAACCAAACTCGGTATCCAGATTCTCCTAAGTCCGAGGAAGGATGAGTTGATGGTTTTTCCCTGATGCCAAATTTCGCACAAAGATGCCTTATGTGTGTACGCTATACGAGTTTCTTTTATGTTTTTGATTTACCCCACACTTCCCCGCTATGGCGGTTTTCCCGATTTTCTCGGAGACTATAAGACCTACGAACAACATTTTTGTCCCTGATGCGCTATGTGAATACGCAGAAAATATGTATTTTGGAATTTCCCTCCCTCCCCTCTCCCCCACGAAAATCGTGATTTTCTCTAGCTCCCGTAATTCCTGGAATTTCGACTCATTTTGCAAATATCCCCAAATGGTTAAATGTCCGTATTTCATTATGATAGACCGATTTAACAAGAAGTTATAGCCATAAATATATTTGCTGCCCAAGCGCTGCCCGCAGCTGTTGTTGATGCGGATGCTTTGGTTAACTGCAAACATGCTCACACAGAGATGAATAGACGCACATAGACATCGGATGATTTTCCGACACGTGGACATGCCATGTCCAACTGACTATTAGAAAAACATAGATTTTCTGGGTTAAGACCACAAAAAGTCAAGGATTGGCCTTGTGATTTGTTAATCGTCATGGCGAAGGCAAAGCGAATCGGGAACTGAATTCTTTTAAATTCAAAGGGCATATCCATTGGGATCATTGGAATCCTTGGAATAAGAACTATCTCGTCTTTAAATTTTCCGTTGAGTATCGTCGCGTGAATCACATTACTCATCAGTCTTCTTATCCCCAAGCGCATTTCATTACCTTGGTTTGGTTGATTTAGATTTCGAAGCATGATGACTACGGAGCCGGCCTTCAGTTGTAAATTGTGCAGTGGTAAACCAGGCACATCCAATGAGCCTAAAAATTCAATTGAATAATTAGTGGCATCATCTTCGTCCGATATACAATCAATAGTTTTGAATGAATGCATAGTTCCAACGATTTGATTCTGAACTATAATGTTAAAGTCATTCACATCTTTATTCTTAGCCGCCAAAATTTATGACCCCCCTATCCAATTGTTATACCGATAGTCAGCAATTGTTCGGAGAAATCTTCAACAGATGATTCGTTCTACAATGCAACTCGCATATTTGCTGTCAGTTGCATTTTCTTCACATAGCACCACAGATTTGATGATTTGAGGTAAGCATTTATTTCATCTGCAGCAGTCGATCTTGGAATGACTGGCAGGGTTCCACCATTAAATAAATTACACTTTTGCAACTTAAATATTTATGTATATACTGACTCTGACTGAATGGACAGAAAAATCAATTTTTGGACTTTATTTTGCCCCCTTTGGAAGTCGAATTCCAATGTTTTTAATAGTTATTCTGCTATTCTGGATGGATACAAATAAAACAAATCAAAACCCATAAAAATCCGACCAGCCGTTCTCGACTTATAAGTGTTCGAACAGACACGACTTTGTTTTATATATATAATAATAATAGAATATATATATATATACAATAATAATAAAAATATATATTATATATATGTGTCGGAGTTGGGTCCTTTCGAATCTAGCCGTTTAACAAGCTGCCTCTATTTGCTCTTGTGTTTGATAAGAACGAAGTAGGGCCCTATTTTGTGCCACATCAACGCGGCGCTCTTCTCGTGATATTTGCCGTTCTTCATCAATTGATTCGCAATGTTCCGTAGCCTATTTGCATTATGACTCTGTTGGGAAAGATTAGATCTTCTTGGTCGCGGTATTATTAATACAAATATTCACACATCAAAACAAATCACAGATATTAATTAAATAAATTACACTTTCGCGACGTAAATATTAAAATAATATACTGACTCTGACTGGATTGACAGAAAAATTTGAAACGGTATATTTTTCCATTTGTCATCGGTTGAAAAATTCAGAATTTTCATACAAACTTTGGGCTTTGGTTTTCCCGGTATTCGTTATTCTGCTATTCTGGACTTGTATCCGTCCGTACAAAACAAGTCAAAACCCATAAAATTCGGTCCAGCCGTTCTCGACGTTATGTGTTCGAACCTTTGTTAAAACATATATACTATATATTGATGATTTTATTGGCCGGTAAAATTGTTGCCTTTTCGTAAAACAAACAAATCACCACTGCCTTCTTCCAATTTATGTAGGGGGATCACTCCACACATACACATACACACACGTTATACAATAGTAATGCGTGTACGTCTATATTCTGTGGCTTCACTTTATACATCACTTTTTCTAATTTTTGAACTTATCAAGTAACGCTAGTAATTATAAACTATTCTTCTTCAACAGATCCTTGTATGCAATTGCAGCAAAGTGAATAAGCTTAAAATGCACTGTAAACATTTACACGAATCCACAATTTAACTCATTTAAATTGAATATTTCAATCTTTAAAAGTCTTGGACGTATTTTAATTTTAACACGCACTGAAGATATTTTAATTTCAAAAAAATACCTTTTATTTTAGGGAAAACCCAAATCTTGCGATAAGAAAAAGATCGGCAGAGACTACCAAAGCTAATCTCACTTCCAAACGGTTCAAACGGTAAATGTAAGTATGTCTTCTATTTACAAACATACTCAATAATATCGTTACTTTCAATAAATATCTTTTTATTTTTTAGTGACAAATTGTATCAGTCGAGCAAGTCCGACGGTGAAAGACACTGCAAAAAGAAGAATAGCGAATCCCCTCCTGCAGTTTGTGTCGTGGAACTGGAGTGAAATTTTTTCGCTAATAACTTTTCTAGAAGTTACTGATTAAGATGAAATTTGAAGAAAAGTAGAGAATTACATATTAGATACGTGTTCAAACCTTGGTTTCGTCAATTTTGGAATTATGGGTAGCAGATATTAAAATCCTTTAGTATGGTGAGGGGGAAAAGGGTGTGGTCGGAATAAAAAACGTTCGTATGGAGACGGATACGGGGTCGGAGTTGCTTCTACCATCTATAATACGAAAAATATGTATATTAAATAAAAGTAAACTCGTTCATGTATGAGCAAGAGAGAAAGTAAGTACATCATTTCAATATTTTTCAATGCTTCGAAAATGATTTGGCTATTTTTAACCGACTTCAAAAAAGAAGAATGTTATTAAATCGTCTGTATTTATACTCTGTACATAAAATGCACAAGAGTATATTAGGTTTGCGGGAGCTGAAAATGTAACAGGCTGAAGGAGGCGTGGCAGACCCCACAAAGTATATATATTCTTGATCTTGACTGTCTGTCTGTCCGTCTGTCCGTCCGTATGAACACCTGGATCTCAGAGACTATAAGAGATAGAGACACCAAATTTTGCACAAAGATGCCTTATGTGTGTATTCTATACTGCAAAAAGAAGAATAGCGAATCCCCTCCTGCACTTTGTGTCGTGGAACTGGAGTGAAATTTTTTCGCTAATAACTTTTCTAGAATTTACTGATTAAGATGAAATTTGAAGAAAAGTAGAGAATTACATATTAGATACGTGTTCAAACCTTGGTTTCGTCAATTTTGGAATTATGGGTAGCAGATATTAAAATCCTTTAGTATGGTGAGGGGGAGAAGGGTGTGGTCGGAATAAAAAACGTTCGTATGGAGACGGAAATGGCTATACGGGGTCGGAGTTTCAATATTTTTCAATGCTTCGAAAATGATTCGGCTATTTTTAACCGACTTCAAAAAAGAAGAAAGTTATTAAATCGTCTGTATTTATACTCTGTACATAAAATGCACAAGAGTATATTAGGTTTGCGGGAGCTGAAAATGTAACCCCACAAAGTATATATATTCTTGATCACCGTGACAAGACGAGTCGATCTAGCCCTGTCTGTCCGTCTGTCCGTCCGTATGAACACCTGGATCTCAGAGATCTCAGAGATTTCCCGACTTTGAAATACTCTGTACATATGTTTACAATAATTATAGAAAACAGAAAAAAAATAAAAATTAAATGGAAAATCGGGAGAACCCCCATAGGGGGGAAGTGGGGGGGAAAATAAAAAAATAAAACAAACTCGTATAGAATACACACATAAGGCATCTTTGTGCAAAATTTGGTGTCTCTATCTCTTATAGTCTCTGAGATCCAGGTGTTCATACGGACGGACAGACGGACAGACAGACAGTCAAGATCAAGAATATATATACTTTGTGGGGTCTGCCACGCCTTCTTCTGCCTGTTACATTTTCCAGCTACCGCAAACCTAATATACTTCTGTACATTTCATGTACAGAGTATAAACAGCACAAGCATTGGCTTCCGCTGGGATTGCTGCTACTTTATTGGATGGGGGTCGAACAGTCGAACATCGTACATGAAATATAATTAAAATATCCGGAAAAGCAAAAATCTTGCAAGTGTGTGATAATTGGATGGGCATTAAATCATTACTAAGATATTAATTATTGCTTATGTATACAGCGCTGATAATAGATTTTCACAACTTCAACCAATCACAACTTTAGCACCAGGCTTCCCCTCAATATAATACTTAGAGAAATTTGATAAAGCAATAACTTTGAATGGGAAATTCAAAGGCAAGGACGTTTTAAGTCCGCTCAATGATTCCATCCCATGTGCCATTTAAGCGTCTTAAATTCATTGTTCGCCTTGCATTCGCCATTACCGTCAATAATTCGCAGCGACAATATTTAGTAATATGCGGTATAAGTTCGAAAAGTTATGTTTCCTGACATGGCGAAGTCTTCCCCCCTATGGGGGTTTTCCCGATTTTCCATTCGTATAATCGCCTATATCTCGGAGTCTATAAGACCTAGGAACACAAAATTTTAGTCCAAGATCCTTTATGTGAATACAAAGAAAATGTGTATTTTGGAATTTCCCTCCCTCCCCCATTCCCCCCGCAAATCGTAACTCCCGTAATTCTTGGAATTTCGATCTCAAACTTGGCAAATACCTCCATTTAGTTATTATAGTCCAAATGCCAAGTTTCATCATGATAGGTCGATTTAACAGGAAATTATAGCCATATATGTATAAGATCAAGTAGTGCCTGCAGCTGTTGTTGTTACTGCTTTGCTCAGACACACGAGATATACACAGACACACACAAACACACATACACGCATAATTATTCTACACATATGTGCAGAGTATTTTAAAGTCGGGATACCCGACTTTAGCTTCTCTACTTGCTTTGAACTCTTATGGACAAAAAATAATGCAGTCTCCAATTTCAGCCATATACGATTGTAAAGAAGAAGTCGAGTTACATTGCGATGCAAGTTCAATAGGATTTGGAGTGGTACTCATGCAGAAAAAAAGCGATGGGAAAACGAATCCAATATTTAATTCTTCTAAGCGTACAACAGCGACAAAGTCAAAGTATCATAGTTTTGAGCTGGAGACATTAGCGATAATTTATGCCATACGGAGGTTTTGATTTTACCTACACGGGAAACGGTTCAAAATAGTCACAAATTGCAACTCTTTAACCCTTACGTTGAACAAGGTTGATTTAAACCACAGAATCGCTAGATCGGTATTGGAACTCCAAAACTACGATTATGAGCTAGTTCACAGAGCTGAGTGTAAAATGCAACATGTAGACGCCTTAAGCAGAGCACACATACTATATTTTGGTAGTGGAAACAAATAGCTTTGAGGACAATCTTGTTATCTGCCAAGCAGGGGATCCCAAGCGATTAAAAAACTTTTAGAGAAAAGTAAGCAAAAAATGTACGAGATGAGAAACGGGATTGTTTATAGGAAAACAAATGATAGGTTACTCTTTTATGTAAGATATGAAAAGCCATATGTTGCGCACAATGAACTGGGTCATATTGGCAGAAACAAAATGATGGACATTATTTCGAGAAGTTATTGGTACGCAAATCTTAAGGAAAAGTGCAGCAATCATATAAAGAGTGGAAAAACGGAGGGACCATTACATAGCATACCAAAAGGAGGTAAACCATTCCAGTTAATACATATTGATCATTACGGACCAGTAGCTACAGGCAGGGCAAATGAGCATATTTTCTTGATGGTAGACGGGTTTACGAAATTTGTTAGACTGTACACAACAAAAATAACGAATATAAAGGAAGTTATGAAAGAGAGAAAGAGATTATTTTAGAGCATATAGCAGACCAAAATTCATAGTTTCTGACAGAGACAGATGTTTTACGTCCAAAGAGTTTGAAGAGTTTCTAACGGATTTGAATATTATACACATAATGATAGCGACTGGATCTCCTCAGGCAAATGGACAAGTTGAAAGGATAAACAGGAGTTTAGGTCAAATGATTTAGAAGTTGAGTGAAACAGATAAGGGCAGACATTGGGATTCAGTCGAACAAGTTAAATACTCTCTCTCACACTCCATCGTAGCATTAAACATATTCCATGTAAGGTATTGTTCGGCGTCGAGCAGGTGATATATTAGACGAGCTTAGAGAAAAGTTGGAAGAAGTTAACAATACGATTAATAAAAGCTGTTTTAAAAAATCAGAATTGATGTTGAAGAAAACCCAAAACGAAAGTCATACAATGAATCATATTGTAATAATTCGAAGAGAAAACCGAGAAGCTATAAAAAGGGAGACAACGTAATGGTTAACAAATAAAAAAGATAAAGTCACCCGACTTTGAAATACTCTGTACATATGTTTGCAATAATTATAGAAAATAAAAAAATTAAGAAAATTAAAAAAAAAAGTTTGGGTCGATTTTACCTTTCTCAAAGCCGGATCCTCGTGGTCCGGATGATGTTTGGATGGACACCAATTAATTAAAGGCTCTTGTGGTCCTGTAGATGCGAATAGAAGTAAGACGTTTGGCTTAGTTCTCGTAATCAGAAGCGAGCTGCACCAGAATCCTGAGCAGGAAGGTAACTACTCGCAGTGATTAAGGACACCTGGTGGTGATCCTTGGGAGCATATAGTTCGAGGTGACGTGTTAAAGCAATCACCGGCTCCCGTATTTACCAAAAGTAACACGTCGTTCGTTATAATTTTCATTTCATTTTATTTAATAATTTATGGCTTATATAGCCATGCTTAGGCTATGACTATTTACATTCACCACTTCCATGTATTGGCCATTGCCCAATCACTTCTTAATCTAAAGTCCGTAAGCTAATCTGCTGGCGGTTTCACTATCTAAAGTGTGCGAAATAAGTCTCTGGGACAAAAATATTTTTTGTTGTAAAAACTACATTGCATTATTTTTTGTGTTTTTTTTTTTTTACCAATATTTAAAACCATCTTCTCTCTTGCTTATGGCGAGAATTCTCCCAAAAATGCGTTAATTTTTACCGCTACGACTTAAAATAGCTTGCAGCTTCGCTTGCTAGAGCGAAATAAGTAGCTGGGACAAATAACAAAATAGTACGCACGTTGTGAAGCTAAAACTAATGAAACGATATTATTATTCACCCTTACAATAATTAGAAGTGGTGCAGAATAAAGTAAATAATCGCCTATTCAACACCGAAACGCATTTATAAAAAAAGAGAAATGAAGGAAAATGATGAGTGACAATGATGAGGATTTGACAAATATAGCGGCCTAAGACGGTTGCTAAAAACATATATGTAATTGTCCAACGAATGGAAATAAATCTGAATTAATTCAGAGATTGATCGATGCTCAAAAGCATGATGAAATATTGCGAAATAAGTACAGTACTGGAATCAACGGCAGCAAAACAAACGAGAAGAAAGAATAAAGAAAACGAAAGCAACAACAACGAAGTACAGCAAGCTGACGAAAGTACCGACTATGACACAAAGCAAGGCAATGAAATAAACAATGACAAGATGTTCAACGAACAAATTCGCGTTCTAAGTACCCTTCAGTTCGGC